CAATCTCCCACTCTAGGAGTACCGAAAACAGCAGATCGCGGGCAATGCCGCATGCTTCCAGCACCAGGTAAGTCTTTCGCTTCACTCACAACCTCTTTCCTCAACACACAGATGCCACTCACACCGAAGGACCACCCTGCGCCACACCCAGCTACCAGCAGTGCAGCTTGGCTATGGCTCCCTGCTCCTTCTCTGCTCGCTGGCCAGCGTGTGAGCGCTGGCCAGCCTCTAGCGCAGCAGCGCTTGCACAGAATGCAGCCAGCACCCGAATGCCAAATGCGGAGGCAGGCCCTTCGCTATATGGAAGTGGCCTGCCTGCTTGCTGTCCCAGGCTACGCTGGGCCTTTCCCAAGAAGCTGCCGGTACGCCCCAGTAGGCTGAGTCCCAGTCCACACAACTCAGGCCCTGGGCCTGTAGTGCTTGCACGCGCCCAACTGTCAACGACCTGTGTTAGGCCCTCTTCCTGTACCCAACCTAGGGACTGCCTTTGATACACACAAACAGGCTGCCCTGGGCGTGGGTTCTTCCAACCAACTGGCGCTGCGCAACTGCCTGAATTTCCTTGAGTTGCCTGGTGACCAAAATAGGGGCCCTCAGGTCCTCGTCGAGCCTGCCTTCACTTACGGCGGCCGACGTGCTGCTTGGCAGGGCCTGCAAAGGGGCTCATCGGGGCATAAGCCTCGCACTCCATTCTGAGTGATCAACGGCGCAGCTAGTACTGCCGTTGAGATTTGCCCCCAACATGGGTAACTGTGCCTGTATTGGTAAGGTTTGGGCAATTGAAGATGGAAAAGAAGTCGGCGACATGCAGAAAGACATTGAGGCATTAGCACACACACACACACACACACACACACACACACACACACACACACACACACACACACACACGGAGAGAGAGAGAGAGAGAGAGAGAGAGAGAGAGAGAGAGAGAGAGAGAGAGAGAGAGAGAGAGAGATCTGCGGACGAAAGGTTAAATCTTCTTGCGATTTTCTGGATGATAGATGTAGGATCCATATTCTCTAGAAGTCGACCTCCGAAAAATGCATCTAGTTGATCTTATGTGAGTACCGTTTATCTTCTTAACTCTAGATAGGTGTCTTGTATGATATAATGTTCTCTGAGGAGTCTAAGCTTAGGACATAACTGCTTGTAACTTTCTGGAAGTAGCGCATTTGAAGGTCAGCGAGAGATCACTATGTGATTCGGTGCATTTTTCTGGTTTTTTGTGCAATTGTCTTTCAGGCTATGGGATTGCATCCGCTTCTGCAAATCGATCCCTTGATCTCGAGATGTGATCAGATCTGTTCTGCCCGACTCGTCATTGTCCAGTGAGACAAAGGAAATGTTGCATCTGACTGTCACTGCATGTCAGGTGCTTCGTCCCTTGAGTCTGATTATCAGATATTACCACATTTCAATTTATATAGTCTTACAGCAAGTCATCGACTGCATGTAACGATGAAATGTAGACTTGTACATTCTTGATAATCTTATCTGCAATTGCGGCTGCATGGCTTAGTGGTATACACATACGCCTGTCTATCAGCGGATCACCAGTCCTGAAGGGATGGATAATGTTAGAGAACAAGATTGTGAAAAGGTGGCGGACGTATGATACGTTGTGCGGCTCTGCGAGATGCATTTGCACACTATTTTTGTCTTTCCCATCCTGTTTACCGTTTCCCTTTTCAGTATCCGACCCTGCAGAATTGGCAGGGCCGAAAGTGTTGTTAGTAGCTAGTTCTCTCACGGTGGACAGTTTACAGAAGCACAGGCGAAGACGGTGCTTTGACCGCATTGCTCTTCTTTCTCTCGGCTTCTCTCTCTCTCTCTCTCTCTCTCTCTTGGTCTCCAACGGCTTCTCCATGTCTCTCTCTCTGTAGCATATCAGAAAGTGAAATGCACTGAAAGCCTAGGATCTAGCAATGACGAAAGTGGCAACAACCAGCAGCATAGGTGCAACATTCACAAGGTGTCAATGTGCGCGACGCAAAGAGTGAAACAACGGGAAATCAATAACAACATATTCGTATCATCATCATCATAGGCTGGGAAGCAGCGCAGCGGAAGATCTAGTATCAAAGGACACGTGGGGCAAGACACCAGAAAGATTGCCCTTCCGCTCACACACATGGGGAGAGATCCATAGACATGCGAGAGAGAAGGGGGAGGGACATAGAGGTAGCCAAGTCCAACCCAAGTCTGATCTCCGAATGTCGCACACAGTTCAATCCCATGTAGAGTGTAAGTCCGATCTGAATGTCGTGTCCAATAAGGCAGAAGGCCGTGTCCAAACAATGTCTGCAGTTACCTCTATCTCTACTCTGATAAAGAAGAAGAAGAAGAAGAAGAAGAAGAAGAAGAAGAAGAACTTCGGAGGAGTAGGAGAAGAAGAAGAAGAAGAAGAAGAAGAAGAAGAAGAAGAAGAAAGCTGGGTGCTTTCTGCACTTACCTGGTGATGGCTGAACTTGCAGGTACCGCGGAGCCAGCTATGGCG